ACACTGCTCAGGTTCAGATCACATCAGCTATTCCTTCCAATTACGCCCCTTCTGGTTGCACCATCACTGACCACAGGGGCATTGAACTTCCCTAGCAGTATAGTGGAGATAAAGTGTGAGAGTTTTGTTCGCGTTGCCGGCAGTAAGTCAGACCCCTTCATGGTGAGAGTCAGACATTGCCAGGACTATCCATTGTTACCAATTCTGTTAATAACTTTTAAGGACAGAATCAATTAGTGCAGCAAAAGGACAGAGAGGGTACAGTTTAGAGACCTCAGCACTTTGTCAATGCTATTTACAGATGATGTTGGTATCATTGTGCCGTGATCTCCAGCTCTTACTGAAGCAGTTTGCAGCTAACTGTGAAGCACCTTGGATGAGGATTAGCATCTCCAAATCAGAGGCTATGGTCCATGGTTGGAAAAGGGTGGACAGTCCTCTCCGTGGTGGGAGCGGTGTAAACATGCATGCTTCCTTGCAAACTCCTCCTTCAGGACCACTCCTACGCCACTTCTCTTCTTATTTATTTATGTACCTATTTACTCATGTATCTTTGAATTTTTTTTTCACAAGTGAAGGAAGAAAGGGGCAAGAGATTAACAGATGGACTGGTGCAACTTCTGCAGTATTGCGTGTGATGAAGAGGGAGCTGAGTTGCAAGGCAAAGCTCTCAGTTTACTGATCATCTACGTTCCTACCTATGACCACAAACTCTATGTAGTGACCAAATAATAATATCAAATGCAGGTTGTCCAAATTAGTTTTATCTGCAGGGTAGCTGGGCTCTCCCTTGGAGATAGGATGAGAATTTCAGTTTTACAGAAGAAAAGAAGTGCTGTGGGAAAAGATGTCTGGGCCTCCCTGTTCCTGTGACCCAAGTCCAGAACAAACATCAGTTAATGGACAGATAAATGGATAGAAACAAACAGATGATAGCCATCTGAGTCATAGGTAATAGATAAATGAGAAACAGTTAGATCATGGGCAGGTGAAAGACTTACAGGTGAGACACAGAAATGTCATAGAGAGGTGATGGACAGGTGAGAGGCACATTGATCATAGACATGAAAAGGACAGACAGATAAGACACAGACATGTCAAGGACAGGAAAGGGACGGAGAGGTGAGACAGACTGGCCATAGACAGGTGAGCGACAGACAGATCATGGACAAGAGAGAGACAGACATGTCACCTGAGGAAGAACATAGCGATCAGGTGATTCTTCGTTTGCAGACACAGAAATGACGACAGTTGTCCAGGAAACATTGAGCAAGAAATTCAGGACAAGGAGAAGCCACGCCCCCAACCTGTATGCAACACAGGTAAACATGCAGGTACAATAGTCATAATGTCAAACAAGTTCAACCAATCAGAAAAAGGTTACCTGCCATAGAGCTGCCATTTGATCTGAATAAGTTTTAGAAAGACTGGATTCATGATTAAGTCCAACTTCCCCTCCTGAACAACCACCTGCAGCTGGAGACATGGCGGAGTTTAGTGCCTTCTACAGTCCTCAGCAATCTGGATTCTGTCCACTGTAGAAATACCTTTGTAATCTGATGTCTGTCCTATATAATATGTTTTCTGTAAACTGTAATCTGTCCTCTGTAAACTACTGTATTTTCTGTCATTTATAATCTGTTATCCTGATGCATGCTCAATATCCTGATGCATGCTCAATAATCTGTTATACTCTCTGTAATTTTCCCTCTGATTTGCTTCATCTTCTCCGTTATCTGCTTACTATCCTCTGCAAGTTGTCTTATAAATGTAAGAAAATCAGGACAAGGAGAAGGTAATCTGTAGTCTAGTGTAATCTAGTCTTCCATCTGTCCTTTGTGATTTGCTTTCTGTCCACTGTAACCTGTCCTTGTCCTTTGTAATATACATTAAGTACATTGCAGTCTTCCTTCTGTCCTCTGTAAATTGATTTATGTTATTTGTAATCTGTTCTCCAAATTTCCCAATTATTTGTAAAATAAATTTCAAGACGACAGCACTGACCACTGAACTACCAAACCCCGCCGTCCTCTGTGATGTGTCTTCTGTAATTTGTCCTATGTATTCTAGAAATTGTCCTTGCAAGTCTGTCCACTGATCTACTTTATGTCCAACTTACTAAGGTTTGTTGTTTAAACTTACTGGAGAAGTGGGTTCAATGATCACTGCTCCTACAACATAGAGACAAGTGAGATTAAAAAAAAAAAAAAAAGTAAAATTACATGTTAGACAGTCTAAATCTAGACATATGTTGAAATGTCTGAGTCCAAAATATGTGCTGGACAGTTATAGTCCAGGAGATATAACATGGACATGTTATATCTCCTGGACTCAGATTGTCCATATACAGGTCCTTCTCAAAAAATTAGCATATTGTGATAAAGGTCATTATTTTCCATAATGTAATGATAAAAATGAAACTTTCATATATTTCAGATTCATTGCACACCAACTGAAATATTTCAGGTCTTTAATTGTTTTAATACTGATGATTATGGCATACAGCTCATGAAAACCCAAAATGTCTGTCCCAAAAAATTAGCATATCATGAAAAGGTTCTCTAAACAAGCTATTAACCTAACCATCTGAATCAACGACGTAACTCTAAACACCTGCAAAAGATTCCTGAGGCTTTTAAAAACTCCCAGCCTTGTTCATTACTCAAAACCGCAATCATGGGTAAGACTGCCGACCTGACTGCTGTCCAGAAGGCCATCATTGACACCCTCAAGCAAGAGGGTAAGACACAGAAAGAAATTGCTGAACCAATAGGCTGTTCCCAGAGTGCTGTATCAAGGCACCTCAGTGGGAAGTCTGTGGGAAGGGAAAAGTGTGGCAGAAAACGCTGCACAACGAGAAGAGGTGACCGGACCCTGAGGAGGATTGTGGAGAAGGGCTGTGATTCCAGACCTTGGGGGACCTGCGGAAGCAGTGGACTGAGTCTGTAGTAGAAACATCCAGAGCCACCGTGCACAGGCGTGTGCAGGAAATGGGCTACAGGTGCCGCATTCCCCAGGTCAAGCCACTTTTGAACCAGAAACAGCGGCAGAAGTGCCTGACCTGGGCTACAGAGAGGCAGCACTGGACTGTTGCTCAGTGGTCCAAAGTACTTTTTTTGGATGAAAGCAAATTTTGCATGTCATTCGGAAATCAAGGTGCCAGAGTCTGGAGGAAGACTGGGGAGAAGGAAATGCCAAAATGCCAGAAGTCCAGTGTGAAGCACCCACAGTCAGTGATGGTCTGGGGTGCCATGTCAGCTGCTGGTGTTGGTCCACTGTGTTTTATCAAGGGCAGGGTCAATGCAGCTAGCTATCAGGAGATTTTGGAGCACTTCATGCTTCCATCTGCTGAAAAGCTTTATGGAGATGAAGATTTCATTTTTCAGCACGACCTGGCACCTGCTCACAGTGCCAAAACCACTGGTAAATGGTTTACTGACCATGGTATTACTGTGCTCAATTGGCCTGCCAACTCTCCTGACCTGAACCCCATAGAGAACCTGTGGGATATTGTGAAGAGAAAGTTGAGAGACGCAAGACCCAACACTCTGGATGAGCTTAAGGCCGCTATCGAAGCATCCTGGGCCTCCATAACACCTCAGCAGTGCCACAGGCTGATTGCCTCCATGCCACGCTGCATTGAAGCAGTCATTCATGCAAAAGGATTCCCGACCAAGTATTGACTGCATAACTGAACATGATTATTTGAAGGTTGGCATTTTTTGTATTAAAAACACTTGTCTTTCATTGGTGGGATGAAATATGCTATTTTTTTTAGACAGGCATTTTGGGTTTTCATGAGCTGTATGCCATAATCATCAGTATTAAAACAATTAAAGACCTGAAATATTTCAGTTGGTGTGCAATGAATCTGAAATATATGAAAGTTTCATTTTTATCATTACATTATGGAAAATAATGACCTTTATCACAATATGCTAATTTTTTTAGAAGGACCTGTATATGTTATATACAAATATATGGACCATCTGAGTCCAGAAAGCATAATAGACTGTATGAAGCCAAGAAATATGTTGGGGAGTCCGACTCCAGGAAATATGATAAAAAAATTAAGTTCATTGTATTATTTTGGATGTTCTGAGTCAGAGGAAACTGTCAGGATTTGTTAGACAGGAACGAACCCAGTAGTGCAGACAGGACTCAACTCGGCAGATTACAAAAATAAGTATTTAATGGAGGAGTGTATTTACAAAATAACACGCTGACGAGGCAGCAAAACTTACATAAAGATGGAGGACTCAGAGGGAAACTCAGGGAGGACTCAGGAGAGCTCAGGGGAGACGCAGGAGAACGCAGGAGAACGCAGGAGAACGCAGGAGAACGCAGG